GGTCTGCAAGATGGCGGCCCCAATGGCGGGTGGTTGATGGTGGTCCGCAGCGCGCGCTGATGACGTAAGCGGGCGCGCTTGGAGAACCGCCGCCACGTGTTGCTCGCCGTTCCCGCCAAAAGATGTCCGCGCAGTTGAAATGGCGGGAATCGCCAAGTCATTTTGGCAGGAACCCGTGGGACGACCCTGTTGAATGTCCGCCGATGTCCCCGCTCCTCCCGACGTGTTGATCTCTGCCAGGATGGACGAGGCGGCGAGCAGCAGCTCTGCCAGACGGGAGTGCGCTTCGCGGAGCACAGCATCCGACCCCAATCGCTCGTCCGGCGCCCTTGGCGGGTCCTGCGGCATCGGCATTTCCTCGTCCTCTCCCCCCGATGCCAGCTGGCCCGAGTCGTCAAGGTTATCCTCGCGGTCAATCCCGTGGGTCCGACGGGTATTCCTTGTATCCATGCCTGGAAGACTGTTTCACTTCTGACGCCAGTTGAAGTATTCGGAATGACGGCAGGAAACCTCTTGACGGGTAGCACACTTTTTATTAAACTTTGACTTGTCTCGATACACCATGTGGTCACTATTGTTCACACTACACACACTTCACTGACACGTGTGGTCACTACCTCTCCCACTACACACTCCACTGACACGTGTAGTGACTATGGCTCACGCTGCATGCTCACACTGCATGCTCACACTACACTCCAGCCCCGTAATGTCCGTGGAGCCTACAGACCCACCCCAGCTTGGGCGTGGGTCACAACCTCTGGGTCCCGAGAGCCGGCCCTCACACGGACGTTCGGCCCCGGGTCCCAGGGTCCCGCCTCTGGGTCACACAGAGCCCCGGTCCTTACAAGGGCAGCGGGACTAGGTGCCGCAGGGCCCTATCTCTTCCTCCGCCGTCTTCAGTCTTCGCTGGTCACCAACTCCCCGAGCGCCCGCGCGCACCGCCTTATATAGCCCTCTTGCGGACCGCGATGTGAGCGCCCACTAGTCGACCAATCACGGCGCGCTGTTCCTACGATCCGTTTTCCCAGCGCGTGTTACCACTACACAACCAATCGCCCCGCGCTGCCACACGATCACTCCCTGTCAGCGCACGTCACCAACACACAGCCAATCACCACCACATAACCCATGACCCCGCGCTGCCCTGTGATCCCTCACCGTCAGCGCGCGTCACCGGCATACAGCCAATCACCACGCACTGCCCCACGATCCCCACTGTCAGCGCGTATCACCACTACACAAGTGTGATGATGCCGCCACGAAGCCGTTCGGCAGGCGCCCCATCCCCGACCTCGCCACCACCAAGCAACGGAGCCAACCCCGCGTCCCCCTCACCTCACCTCACATGAACACACCTGCACGCATCCCCCCCCATAGCGCTGGAAGGGGAGGACACCTGATCGACCGGTTTTTATCCGAGAAACCCTTATCGGGATTAACTCTCACGGTTTCTGGCGATAAGGGAATTGGATGACCTCCCCCGTGCTACGTTGCGCCGCGGCGCTGCGACCGGCCTTAATATGGTTTGGTCGAGGCGTGGGGCATTCGGCCACCGCGGTTGAGGCGCATTTCCCCCCACACACGCAAGTATCGACGGGGCAGGCAGGGGGAATGAGCATTGTGATGGAGGAGCATCATTAGAAAACACGCAGCGCATCTGAATTGCATAATCAGGCACCCCCCGCACAGGCAGCGGAGGGACGGCATGGTTACGCTCGGGCACGCAGGCACCATTGTTAGGGGAGTTAACGGATGGGGCTGTTAGTATGAGTAATCGGGAGAGCGGGGTCACGCGGGGAGCCGTGCACGGGTTCCCACGGCGCACCTTTGTGACGGACGCCGCCGCATGAACTGCAATAATAGCGAAGGCGCACGGTGCGTGAGAAAGGGATTGATTGGAATTTGCGCCGTGCAGGTCGCTCATTGATTAGCGGAACAAAAGCACTGTGGAGGCGCCGCGGAGCCGCCTTGCCCGTGCAAGGGGGGCGCGGACAGAGGATAAATTAGCATAGCAAAGGCGCACGGTACGTGGGAAGGGGGTAGGGGCCAGAGTCCGGGAATTAGGATAAAAAGGAGCGTAGCAAGGTAGGGACTCTCTCTCTCCTCACTTCTCTTCAAGAGGCACGCGTGCAAGTCGGCTCCCAGCTCTGCCCTCCGGACGTCCGCGCGACGTGCCCCGACGGCATAGAGGAAAAGCCACAGAACGCCGAATACTTCGACCCGTGAGTAGCAAGGTGACAGGGTATCGTAAGCCGATAAATAGGGAATAGGTCCAGGGGAAGTAGGATAGGCCAGCCTCGTCGACTCATACTGACATAACATTAAATTACCAGGTAGCAGATAATAAATCATTAATAGCGAAGCGTGGTCTCGCGTGATCTTGTCGTGCAGAGTGTCGCATGGGGAGCTGGGTGTGTGTGCGTGCGTCCACCCCGGGTGCGATACAGGTGCGCGATCATAACGCGAGTAGTCAGGGGTGAGTGTAGTGCTGCGGCTCGCCTCGGGGGAGAGCTGCGCAGAGCGGCGCGAGAGTGGGTGTCGCGTGTGTTCACTCCGTGTGTGATACAGGTGCGCGATCATAACGTGAGTTGAGTTGGAGTGCGCGGAGCGGCGTGTGTGTGGGAGTGCGCATACGTTCGTTACGTGTCGGATACGAATGCGCATTGGTAACGTGCCGCACAGGGCTATAGACGGGCACACGCTCGCAGTGTACGAGAGCTGTACGTAGCGGTGTAAAGAGGGGGAGTGTGGCGTTTGATTGATGATGCTGTGCGCACGTATGCTCGCAGCGTGGGAGCGCGGCGTGAGGCTGTAACAGTAGGGGCGTCGCGTTCGAATGCCGGCGAAACCGTAGCGGGTAATAGGGAGGTGGGGTAACGTAAACGGAATAGGGGATGGAGGCGGGAGGGACCCCGGGGGCCAACGGCCCCCACATATTGGTGTCAGAAACGGGACGATCCCCCGCGCCCCCAAGGGAGAGAGACTCCCCAACCCAGATTAAAATCAAATGCACATTTACGGGCAAAGGAATTCCATCATGGAAATCGTTTGCCCGCAGCATCAGGGGGGCGAAAAAAGTGAATGGGTGGTCAGATGAGGAGGCGTTGCAGCAGTTAGAGCAACATTTAGATGGGCGAGCAGCTGACTTTGTGGAAGCTTTGCCCGCAAGCGCACAAACTCAGTGGGAAAAATTAATGGGCGACCTCGAATGGCGCTTCGGCGCCTATGACGAGGAGGATGCGCAGGCGGCCTTAGAGGCACGCCGCCGTCAACCCGGCGAGGATCTCCGAGATTACGCCGAGGACGTACGCATGTTGACCCAGCTCGCGTACCCCGAGTACGAGGCCAAAATAATTGAGGGCCTCGCCGCTGGTAAAATCCAGCGATATTTGGCACGCACCCCGTGGTGGCAGCCAAATGTAGACGGTGCACGCCTCTCCTTTGACACCCTCGTCAAGCGCGCGCGCAAATGCGAGAAACTTTTGGGTGAGCGCGCGCAGCCTCGAGGGAGGGGACGAGAGTGCGCCGTAGCGAGCCTACTCTCCGACGAGGAGGAAGAGCTCGCCATCGCAGTAAGGGGACGGGCAAGGGAGCCCCAGAGACCCAGCGAGTCAACCCCGGGGTGGGTAACCAGGTTACAGACCGGCATGGGAGATATTGCTGGCCAGGTAGACCAAATGGACGGTAAGATAACCCACGTAGGTGAGAATATGACCAAGCTGCAATCCTCCGTTGAGACCATCCGATCCGAGATGGGGGAACTAGACTCCACGGTAGGAGGGCTAACTGGAAGAATAGCCCGACTAGAAGCAGAGTATGAGCAGCAGCGCACTGGGGGAGGAGGGAGTGGGCAGAGAGCTCACTACGGAGCCGCCACCCCTCCCCGGGCGTGTTATGTGTGCGATCGGCGAGGGCATCTCAGGTGGGACTGTCCTCAGGTCGCCCGAGCTAGACAAGAGCTAAGGTCAAACACTAAGGCCCCCCTAGAGAGGGGACCACCGGGGGGTGAAATCGACGTAGCCCCGACACAAACAAGCTGTAGTGATAATGGCGAGCGAGTGATCTCCACACAGGTTCCAGCAACAACACCCACGGAAATGGTGACTCCTGGCGACTGGCTGCGGGAGCTGGTGGCGGGGATCACGGGGGCCACGTCGCTGGTGGAAGGGGAGGTAAACGGAGTGCGTACCCGAATCCTGCTGGACACGGGGGCGGTGGCCTCACTCGTGAGCGCAGCGCACTGCAGCGCGATCGGGGTCGACATGCGTCACCTGCAGGCCCCGGACCGCGCGCTGCACACGGCGAGCGGAGCCGGAATGGGGTTGCTAGGGAGAGCCACCCTAGAGGTCCGCATAGGCAGCCAGGTGTGCACCCAGGAGTTCTACGTGTCGAGTGCATTGTGTCACGAGTGTATCGCAGGTACCGACCTCCTAGAACGGTTGGGACTCAACGTGCAACCCCGCCAGCGATGCGCCACCATGGAGAGCAACGGCGAGCGGATACCGTTCCTGGGACGAGAACCAACGCGCCTCCGCTTTGCACCTGTGGCCGCTATCCTGGCGACGGCAGTCACCATCGGCCCGCTCACCGAGATGCTGGTGCCGGTGGCAACATCCCCCACCGACCCCGCGCTCCAACCATCAGGGGAGGTAATGCTAACTCCTCACCCGGAGTTGGCAAAATGGTATGGGGTTGTGGGATCCGCCACGTTGGTAAACGCAGATGGGGACCGATTGTTTATGCGGATGTTTAACCCCCACAATACCCCAGTGATACTGCGACGGCGCACCCCGATAGCCACAGTACACCCCCTGCATGCATGCCACTCTAACGACTCGGTGTTCGCACTCTGGGCTGAGGACCCCGGTCGTCCTGAGGGTGAGCAGGACCTGGCCTAGCGAGTCGGCCCGACTCCCCGAGGCGAGGTCGTTCCCCTGCTCGACGTGTTACATGTACCATGGGCAGACTTACCTAAGGGAGAGGCCGATCGGCTGCGCGAGTTACTGCGGGAGTATGCTGACGTGTTCAGTGAACATGACTCGGACGTGGGTCGGACCGACCTTGTTAAGCACCAAATTGACACCGGTGCAGCCCGACCCATCAAACTCCCTGCATACCGAGTGGGCGCACCCGAACGCACTCAGATCAAAGAGGCGGTTGGGGACATGCTTCGCGATAACATAATTCAGCCCTCGGCGAGCCCCTGGTCAGCCCCAGTGGTACTAGTAACGAAAAAGGATGGGTCAACCCGGTTCTGCGTCGATTACCGTAAACTGAACGCAGTCACGCTAGGCGACGCCTTCCCCATACCCCGCATCGACGACACTTTTGACAGCCTCGCCGGAGCGCGATATTTTTCCACCCTCGATCTCGCGTCCGGGTACTGGCAGGTGGCGATGGCGGAGGAGGATCGGCCGAAAACCGCATTCACCACCCCGATGGGACTATTCGAGTTTCGAGTACTCCCGTTCGGACTCACCAATGCACCCGCGACGTTCCAGCGGCTGATGGAGTTGGTGATGCGGGGTTTGCAATGGGAACAGTGCCTGATTTACTTGGACGATGTGATCGTGTTCAGTAGATCTTTGTCTGAGCATTGGTCCAGGCTACGAGAGGTGTTCCAGCGACTGCGAGCGGCTCATCTCAAGCTCAAGCCACGTAAGTGTTACATCGCACAACGCGAGGTGGGGTACCTCGGGCATCGCGTCAGCGAGGCAGGCGTGCGTACCGATCCGGAGAAGGTACGCGCCGTAGTGGAGTGGCCACGGCCAAGGAATCTGACGGAGATCAGATCATGTTTGGGGCTCGCCACCTATTATCGTCGATTTGTAAAGGGATTTAGCGAGATTGCATGCCCCCTCACCCAACTCACTTCCCCTAAGCACCCCTATCAGTGGACGGGGGCCTGCCATACGGCCTTCACCACTCTCAAAGACCACCTCACCCACGCCCCCACCCTCGCTTTCCCCGATTTTACCATCGACTTTATTTTAGACACCGACGCCTGCAGCAGCGGGCTGGGCGCGGTGTTGTCACAGGTACAGGATGGGACAGAACGAGTCATCGCGTATGCCAGCCGGACCTTGAGTGGGGCCGAGCTGAACTATTGCGTGACCCGCCAAGAGTTGTACGCCGTGATTTTCGCATGCAAACAGTTCCGGCCGTATTTGTATGGCAGGAGATGTCGCGTACGCACTGACCATTATGCTCTGCAGTTCCTTCTTACATTCAAGGAGCCGCGGGGGCAGATGGCCCGGTGGTTGGCGCAGTTGCAGGAGTACAACCTGCAAATCGAGTATCGGGCTGGCCGGACGCATGCAAACGCGGACGCCTTGTCGAGGCGACCCACGGTGTACGCCGAGACAAGGGCGGAGGAGGCCTGCCCGTGTTTCACGGGGGCCGCTGCCGGCAGGCAACGGACCCCCGAGCGGCCGCGGCCACTGACCCCCCCCCAGCGAGAGAGAGTGCAGTGTGCGCCACAGAGACCCTCACAGGTGGCACCAAGGATCCCGTCGACCGCCCGGCAAGCGCGGGACCCGCGGCGCGGGACCCGATCGGACGGATCCAGGAGGACGTTGGCTGCGCCTTCCCGGGCCTGAACGACGAGCAGCTGAGACAGACCCAGCAGCGAGATCCCGATCTGGCGGCAGTGGAGGCGGCACTGCGGGAGGAAAAGAGCGCCTTACCAGGACCCTGGAGCGGTTTGTATGCCCGGTTGTGTGTGCAGAACGGAGTGGTAAGGGAGTTAACCGAGGCCGGCCAGCCGGGGTGCATCTGTGTTCCTGCCCAGGTGCGACCCCAGCTGCTACGGCTGGTGCATGACCACCCACTCGGGGGCCACGATGGGGAATGACGCACGCGAGAGACCCTGCGTCGCCAGTATCTCTGGCCCAAATTGGCACAAGACGTGGCGGCCTGGGTAAAGGGCTGCCGCGCCTGTCAGCAGTGCGGGCCGAAACCGGCACGATACCAGGTACCCCTAAGGCCGTTCCGCATCAGCCGCACGAATCAGCTGGTCGGGATCGATCTACAGGGGCCATTCCTGCGATCCCATCGAGGCAACCGGTATATCCTAGTTGCGGTAGAGTATTTCACCCGCTACCCCGTAGCAGTGGCCATCCCTGATAAAACGGCCTTGGTGGTCCCGGGCATTCGTGGAACATTACGTACTTAAGCATGGGATCCCAGAACGAGTCCTCACCGACCAGGGTAGCGAGTTCGAGGCCGAGCTGTTCCAGGCACTGTGCCGAGAATTCAGAATCCAGAAGGACCGAACCACAGCGTACCACCCCCAAGCGAATTGTATGGTAGAACGCATGAATCAGACCCTAGCGGGAAAACTCAAACGTATAGCGGCCGCAAATCAACGGGATTGGGACGAACACCTCCCCTATGCCCTTTTCGCCTACGCCACCACCGTACACACGTCGACGGGACAAACCCCGTTTTTAATGATGTTCGGCCGTGAGTCTCGTTTACCCGCAGATCTGCTATTCGGCGTCCCTTCCCCCCAGCCGGAGGAGGGAAGCCGCCCCGTGGAACGCCTGTTGGAGACCCTGCGAGAAGCCCGAGGCCGAGCATACCCGCAAGGGGAAGCCGCGCATCCGCGGCAGGAACAGGGCACCCGACCCCGCATGGAACCCCCCTTATTCCTGACAGGCGCTAAGGTGTGGCTACACACCCCTCGCATCGGGGCCGGGCAGGTGGGGAAACTGACGACCTACTGGCGGGGACCCTGGACCGTGGTGCAGCAGATATCCCCCTGGACGGTACTAATTTATGGCGGGGAGAGGGGTCGAGAGACGGTGGTCAATGTCCGCCGCTTAAAACCGTGGAAAGCGGCCCCGGCGAGAGAGAACCCCGTCACCCGAAGGCCCCGAAATCCCGGAGTACCCGCACCCCTCGTGTTGGGGGGCCTTCGCACACTACATGGGCCCCGCCGGGCCCCCGAGACGCCCCGATCCAGTCCGGAGACGGTGCGGACGACGGGCCCTAAACCCTTCCGCTGCTGAGTTTGTGCCCCAGCCCACAGGTGCCGGAGGACGGGGAGAGCCGCTGGAGTGGAGGAGGAGGCCACCGCAGGAGCTACAGAGGACGGAACCACCCGCCCCGAGGCCAGCCACCTGGTCCGGACGGATCCCCCGGACCCCGCAACGTTTCCTCGTGGGCGCGGCCCAAGCGAGGTGCTCCAGTCAACCCGGCACGGGGACTGGCACCTCGGGGGGCTATGTGATGCCGCCGCCACGAAGCCGTTCGGCAGGCACCCCATCCCCGACCTCGCCACCACCAAGCAACGGAGCCAACCCCGTGTCCCCCTCACCTCACCTCACCTCACATGAACACACCCGCACGCATCCACCCCCCATAGCGCTGGAAGGGGAGGACACCTGATCGACCGGTTTTTATCCTAGAAACCCTTATCGAGATTAACTCTCACGGTTTCCGGCGATCAGGGAATTGGATGACCTCCCCCGTGCTACGTTGCGCCGCGGCGCTGCGACCGGCCTTAATATGGTGTGGTCGCGGCGTGGGGCATTCGGCCACCGCGGTTGAGGCGCATTTCCCCCCACACACACAAGTATCGACGGGGCAGGCAGGGGGAATGAGCATTGTGATGGAGGAGCATCATTAGAAAACACGCAGCGCATCTGAATTGCATAATCAGGCACCCCCCGCACAGGCAGTGGAGGGACGGCATGGTTACGCTCGGGCACGCAGGCACCATTGTTAGGGGAGTTAACGGATGGGGCTGTTAGTATGAGTAATCGGGAGAGCGGGGTCACGCGGGGAGCCGTGCACGGGTTCCCACGGCGCACCTTTGTGACGGACGCCGCCGCATGAACTGCAATAATAGCGAAGGCGCATGGTGCGTGAGAAAGGGATTATTGGAATTTGCGCCGTGCAGGTCGCTCATTGATTAGCGGAACAAAAGCACTGTGGAGGCGCCGCGGAGCCACCTTGCCCGTGCAAGGGGGGCGCGGGCCATTGTTTAGAGTTTACGCCGCGCGGACAGAGGATAAATTAGCATAGCAAAGGCGCACGGTACGTGGGAAGGGGGTATGGGCCAGAGTCCGGGAATTAGGATAAAAAGGAGCGTAGCAAGGTAGGGACTCTCTCTCCTCACTTCTCTTCAAGAGGCACGCGTGCAAGTCGGCTCCCAGCTCTGCCCTCCGGACGTCCGCGCGACGTGCCCCGACGGCATAGAGGAAAAGCCACAGAACGCCGAATACTTCGACCCGTGAGTAGCAAGGTGACAGGGTATCGTAAGCCGATAAATAGGGAATAGGTCCAGGGGAAGTAGGATAGGCCAGCCTCGTCGACTCATACTGACATAACATTAAATTACCAGGTAGCAGATAATAAATCATTAATAGCGAAGCGTGGTCTCGCGTGATCTTGTCGTGCAGAGTGTCGCGTGGGGAGCTGCGTGTGTGTGCGTGTGTCCACCCCGGGTGCAATACAGGTGCGCGATCATAACGCGAGTAGTCAGGGGTGAGTGTAGTGCTGCGGCTCGCCTCGGGGGAGCGCTGCGCAGAGCGGCGCGAGAGTGGGTGTCGCGTGTGTTCACTCCGTGTGTGATACAGGTGCGCGATCATAACGTGAGTTGAGTTGGAGTGCGCGGAGCGGTGTGTGTGTGGGAGTGCGCATACGTTCGTTACGTGTCGGATACGGATGCGCATTGGTAACGTGCCGCACAGGGCTATAGACGGGCACACGCTCGCAGTGTACGAGAGCTGTACGTAGCGGTGTAAAGAGGGGGAGTGTGGCGTTTGATTGATGATGCTGTGCGCACGTATGCTCGCAGCGTGGGAGCGCGGCGTGAGGCTGTAACAGTAGGGGCGTCGCGTTCGAATGCCGGCGAAACCGTAGCGGGTAATAGGGAGGTGGGGTAACGTAAACGGAATAGGGGATGGAGGCGGGAGGGACCCCGGGGGCGAACGGCCCCCACACAAGGCGTAACGCAACACAATACAGTCTCGCACTTGAAGGCGAAACGGCCCCTTCACCCTCTGCTAGCTGGGGAGGCACACCCTCGGCTAACTCGCCCTAGTCCTGGGATATGGTCCCTGGGTCCTCCGGCTAAGAGGGTCCTAGGGGAGGCTTTCTGACCTGACCCTGGTCATGGTACAGGTCTCGACTGCCAGCCACACGGACCCGGCCCTGGTAAGGACGTCGGGCTCCGAAGCTTCCAGGGTCGCACCACTGGCTCACTCTGCCTGGCCCTGATAAGAACGGCGGGTCGGAGGAGTCCCAGGGTCTTGGCTAGCCAGTCTACAGTCTTCACTGGCTCTTCTGTTTTCAGCTGGCACTACTGCCTGAACTCTTCCGGGTCCGGCCTTTTATCCTGCTTCTTGGCTTGTTCCGCCCAAGCCACGCCCCCCTTCCCGAACATTCCACCTGGTTCTGGAAGGGTGAGATCATTTCCCCACAGCCCCTTACCTGGGGGCTGTGCCCACTCGTTCCAGGATCCGTTTCCTCAGCTACCTGTTGACCCCTTGGGTCATACTCCCCTGGTACTGGCTCAACCCGTCAACTGCCCCCTATCGGTAAATAGTAGCTATCCCCCAGAGACGGTGTGCATTCACTCAATAACACCGTTACACATGTGACGAGGTCGCTTCCGTGTGTAGAACTATAAAAGAGGTGTATAGCTCAGTGGGCCTTGCCTGGCAAATCGCCCGATGCAGCTGCTTGTTGTTGTAGTCACCAGCGAAACGTCACGGAACTCAAATCGTCAACGTTGTAGTGGGTTCACTCTCCAACACACAGCCGGTTAGTGCTGAAGTCGTCACCGATTGTCAGGTGTTGTTCGTGGTGACGTCACCACGCACGTGCCCATAGATAGTACCTGTGGCGGGAGTCTCAAAAGCAACCAGCCCCTGTATTAATCAGCTGTTTGCATTTAAATTGGTAAAACTTACATTGATCTTCTTGTATCAGCAGATGGCAGCACAGACCTGACTAGCAGAGACAGCGGCAAAGATCCCCGTGTAGACTTAACAGACCATTGGGGCAAGTGCTGTTAGCGAGTAACACTTGTGATGGCCGGAAATATGGCTTACAAGGGGGCAGATGGCCAGCACCACGCCCGGTCCCCTTAGTCCCGGATGCCTCTAAAACGATGCGTTGCGTTGAGTGAGCGAGCGGCCTGGCTGAGTGGCAGCGATGGACCGCACGGAAGGATCCGCTGAGCCAGCAGCTGACTGCCATCTATCCAGTGACGAGCACGAGGCCTAGCCCAGCGCTCACCAATTGGAGACCAGCACATGAAGTGGGGTGCGAGGAGGGGGGGTGGGTGCCCTGGGTTTGGGGGCTGGGTAGTGGCAGGGGTAGGGGTAGGGGGAGAGGTAGGGGGTGGGGCAGGGGTAGGGGGAGTGGAAGGGGTAGGGGGAGTAGTGGGAGGGGTAGGGGGAGGGGTAGGGGGAGGGGTAGGGGGAGGGGTTGTGGGAGGGGTAGAGGGAGGGGTTGGGGTAGGGAGAGGGGTAGGGAGAGGGGTCGGGATAGGGGTAGGGGGATAGGGTGAGTAGGGGTGCGGGGTACTAGGGAAGGGTGCGTGAGGTGGGGGAGTTGTCTGGGTGAAGGGGGGAGCTTGGGGGTTGTCACGTGAGAGGAGGGATCCCTAGGGGGTGGGGAGATAGGGATGTTGGGGGTCACGTTGGGTTCATTGTTTTACTTCCTGCACTGGTCAAGAGTTGCGGACCGAGTCACGAATCGCGACCGATTCCCAGAGGCCGTCTGGGTCCCGGCGCTGCCTGGAGCGGTGTTGATGCGTGCCACGCGAGGGCGCTGCCACTCCACAGCAGGGATTCGCGGGGCGTGCTGAACAATGAAAGTGCACTAGATATTTCAAAAGAGGCTGTGGCCAAATCAACCCGGAATGTGGCCGATTTTTTTTCCCAGATCTCGGAAACTACGCAAGGTTGAGCCTGGGCTGTAGCTCTTGGATAGGTGAGTGGCGTGCACGTCGGAGTGCGGTGTGCAGATTACGCGGTGTGCCTCTCTCGGATGCGCTTTCAGGTTATGCCCCTTGTTGATCAGCGCGATGCCTGTGACGTTCCCTCCAGGTGCTGGGAGCATCGTGAAGATTTGAAGCTTCTGGCGTTGTAAGTGTAAATGTGAGGAGCATTGACGGCTTTTATTCTTCATTACGGTGGAGCTGAGATTCCTATCATAATCGTTAAGTGATTTAATGAGCTTCAGGATACTCCTCGAGCCATGGGTAAGATTTTGCCTATTTGTTCAAGTAACGAGATATTGACGCGACATGAAGGGACTCGCATTTATCCTCTTCAATCGATCTTCAGTCTGCGTGCCAACATCGCCATCACTAAAGTGGGCATCGGTGCACATCGCAGCAGCACTGGAACGGTTCCGAGGCCACAGAGCAACAGGAATGGAACAAAAGAAACCCGTCACGACCTCAGCGGCGACCACCGACTTAGCAAAGTCAATTTGCAACTGCGCGTAATGAATAACAGAAGAACATTAAGTAGCAAATAAGTTGAATAATAAGTAAAGAAAATGAATAAAAAGTTAAGAAAATGAATAACATTCATAAGATTCATGAATAATAAAATGAAATATATATATATAAATGAAATTAATAAGTTACATGAATTTACAAATTTTAATAAAATAACGTAAAAAAAAGTTTAGTTTTCATAATTTTTATAAAGTTAATTAATTGTGAATAATACACGAAGAATGGAATTAAAAATTTCCAATGAACGTAATCATTTAGATAAAAAAATATTAGAAAATAATATTTATGCATTTTTTATCATTTAAATAAAAAAATTACGCATGAATAATAATAAATTAAACAACAAGCAAATTAAAAGAATAACAAAACACTGGTCCCCCCTCCACCTTGTTAAATGGTGGATGTTAGGGGCAGGCGAGTGTGAGTAGCTGCGTCTTGTACAGAGCACGGAGTTGAGAGACACTCGGCGCGTTGTGGACGTCCTGTGGGTAGGGCGTGCTTGAGACGGCTCCTCCCACCAGCGTCGGGTGGACAATCCCGGTGCGGTTTGTATGAACTTATTCACTCGCACGAACGCCACCCACCTATTGTACATCACATAAAGTACAGGGGAAATCACTGCTGTTGAGAATATATTTAAATTTTAAATCAAAGAAACCACGCGTGACAGAACCCTCTGAGTGTAGGCACACGAGCTACAACATCAAAGTGAAGGAGTGTGCGTACGTCAATGAGAATGGACGTGAGGGGTCGTGAGTGGCAACGCTGCCGAGGGGAATCCCCGCCGCTGATAACGCGGCGGGGATTCCCCTCGGCGTGTCCGTACGCCTGTGGACGACTCCGTGTGGGGGGGGGGGGGGGTCGCCACAGCGGTGAACGCTGCACTGGGCTACGAACCCAGTGACCCGAGTTCGATTCCCGCTCGCGGCCAAACACCGGCGACGATCATTTGAACCGGTACTGGGCCTTCCCTGGGTCGACTCAACCTCAAATGAGAATCTGTTGCGTTGTCTAAACACAGCCGCTGGGGAGACAAAGGCGGTCGGGAGTTTATCTATCGTCACAACCACCATCTTGTACAACTTCCTGCGTTAATAGGTGCACGCTAACAGTCCTGTCCCACCAATCTATGCAGGCTCTACGTAGATCTGTGTTTGTATTCCTCTGAATTTTTGTATATGACTTTGAATTGTCAAATTACTTTATTTGGTGTCCTGGATTGTGCTTATTTCTGTGTTTTTATTTTCTGCGCTGATAGCGTTCGATATATATAACAATAGATTTGTTGGGGAGTTCCCAGGACGCACTCGGAGACAAAGGTAAGTTGAGGGGCTTTCGCCAAAGGTTTATTACAGACTTTACAACGGGGTACACAACTCCCAGGGGTACACAACTCCCAGGGGTTAGAGGTCCTACGCTGAGTCCTGGTCCCTACCCGGCTAGCCCTGGTCTCTCCGTGTCGGATCGGGGACTCTGCCAACTCCACCGACCAGAGAGAGAAGCACCTCTATCGGCTACCACCGGGATTCCTTCCAGACTCACGACTTCGTCCCTCTACACCAGACACAGACATGGGCAAAGTACGGCCCCCGGGCCCTATACGGCCCGTTGGGCTTTTTAATCCGGCCCGCCGAACTTGTCCAAATATTATTATTAAAACACGTTCCTTCGGAGTGGGCAGGTAGGAACTTGGTTGGACAGCGCCGCGTTCGGGGGGGGGGGGGGGGCAGTTGGATGAGTGGGCATGTTGGTGGGGAGGTGCATGGGTGGGCGGAATTCCGTGTATGCACGACAGACAGACAAATAATCCCGGGTGGGCAGTGTGGAACCTGTTGTTCCTATCTGTATAACACTCTCGGTATCTAAGACTCACACACACATACACTCACTCTCACACTCTCAGACTCACACACACACTCAGCGCGGCGTTCAGGGGGGGGGGGCGGTTGGATGAGTGGGCATGTTTACCCTTCCCCCCCACCCTTCCAGACATCGTCAACCAATCGCGGCGTTGCTCGGTGTTCGGTGTGGTGGGGTTTGCATGAGTGTGCGTGTTTACACCCCACCTCTGCCAATGGCGGCCCCGCTCGGCGTTTGGAGGGGGGGAAAGATGAATGATTGGGCGTGTTTACCTTCCCCCCACCCTCCCCGACATCCTCAACCAGTCGTGGCCCTGCTCGGTGGTCGTTGGGGGGGGGCATGGGTGGGCTGCATTCCGATGCACGACAGACAAATAATCCCTGGTGGGCAGTGTGGAACCTGTTGTTCCTACCTGTATAAAAGATAACTTGACTTGAGGTAGCCAGGCAGCCAGCCAGGTAGCCAGCCCCCTTAACTATCGGCCCCTCCCCCTTGCTTTGGCCCCTCTCCTTACCCCCCCCCCTCCCTTAGGCCCTTCCCCTAACCACCCCCCATATCCTTAGGCCCCTCCCCTGACAACCCCCCCCCCCTCCATATCCTTAGGCCCCTCCCCTGACCCTCCTCCCTTAGGTACCTCCCCTCTCCGTACCCGGCAGTAGGTCTCCACCAATCAAAGAGCTGTTTATATTATATATTTATTTATGCACGACAGACAGACAAAAAATCCCTGGTGGACAGTGTGGAACATATTGCTCCTACCTGTAAAAGGGCTACATGGCACACTGGGCCTTACCTGGTCAAACAATATATTAAAAAAGTTTAGTTTTATTCTAGACAAATCGTGGAAGTAATTGCAACTCTTTCTTCAGCCACACTAAGATCTGATTGTTAATTTCCCACCCAACTCTTCTGGCAATGCAGATTTGTCATATTGGTAAAAAAAAAACTACAATTCTACATACATCTCGTTGACAAACATGGACGTTGTATGTATTTAGAACGTCTTTCGCACCATACATCGCGGAAATACGTGAGTGGAGACCCCGCAACATCAATTTCATACGTAGGCTTTCACGACCAATATTCGTGATTCACAATTCGTTCATGCTGGGTTAGATTTTCGTGTAGGTATAGTGTTAATTTGTTTGTCCACCACCCGACAGCGCCAATCGAGTAAAGTTGTTAGGTCATGAGGCAACTACGTCAATTGGTTTGGTTTAAACACGTTCCTTCGGAGTGGGCAGGTAGGAACTTGGTTGGACAGCGCATTCGTGCACGACAGAAAGCTTGCGGTCACGTGATGCACTTCAACCAATCCCGGAACGTACATGTTTGGGAGGGGCTATGCACGACAGACAAATAAACCCTGGTGGGCAGTGTGAAACTGTTGTTCCTACTTGTATAATTCCACTCATTGAGTTATCCTTCAGCGATGAGGACTCCAGACTGATTTTCTTCTCACCCACTCTGTTCGACTACCACTCGGCAGGTCACAACACTTTTCTCTCGGCTTCTTCCACACACTGCTCAAATTTGGAAGTCCATCCTACGGTTTCAAGTCTAATTATCTTGCTAATTTCCATAAATATATTTCAGCACTTTTTGAATTGAAAACCATATAGCAATGCCACGTGTATATGTTCTATATATTCGCAGATCTTTGACACATTATCCTGGGAATATCCTTGGCAAGAGACTTTGTTTTGATTTAATTTGCATTTCCCTCCGACGCATCGTTTGGTAGATCCAGAGTGTGACGGACAGACAGACAGATGCGAATGATACCCAGAGAGATGTATTTCATTTCCCCAGATAGACACTGAACAACGTGTAGCTACAGACGTAAGTATTTCCTATACTAACTTTGCCTATGACATTTTCCCCTTATTTCCCATTCTTATTCTCCATGTGCTTTTAATGTTCCCGAGCTCCCAATGCACACGTCGCTCACCTCCGTGTACATAATCGAGATGTGGTAACAATCACTGCCTATACGACTAAACATTGCGTTGATACCTTACGAGTGACTCAACAACTCGGCACTGTCTGTGTAGGTGTCTCTACGTGGGACCAAGGAGCGGATCAAGCGAGAGTTTGAGCGCCGGAGGGAGCAGCTGAGGGTAGAGGAGAGGGAGGCGCTGGAGCACGTGGACGAAGAGGGCCGCTCCGTGCTGTCCCGCATCCAGGCGGACATCGCTCGCTACGAGAGCAGAGCACGCGGCCTGGAGAGGGAGATCAATCAGCTGCTCGCCGCCCTCGCCGTGCAGGACCCCCTCTCCCTCCTGCAGGTGGCCCCACCTCCATTCACTCACCGTGGTGGCAAGGAGATGTTAACTACCTCGCCTGGTATAGAGGAGGTCGTGGGTTCGATACCAACCCTGATGTCTGCTGTAAATTTGGAGTCTACGTCTATCTCTCTCTCTGTGATCGCATAGATTTTTGTCTCGGTCCTCTGATTTTTGACTCCACATTTAGAATCATCATCATGCATTCATAGTATTTGGCTGCTATTATAAATGTCCGAAATAAGGCAGTTTGTTGTGCTATCTGTTGTGATAGCCAGCTCGCTACTGAAAAAAGCAACATAGCAAAGTGGGCCTTACCTTGAAAATATAAAGTTTAGTTTATTCAGAGTTCAAAACATAAGTTGTTGAGTAGTAATACCTTGCAATAGGTATCTGTTTGGTGTTAAGAACATCTTAACGCGTCCTATTTTAATTGCCAGAAAGGATAATGCCTCTTCTATTTTTTTCATAATTTCAATATTCGAAGAATGGGATTTTTCGCCTTTTTTTGTCAACAAAACTGAAACCTTTTTACGAAAAATCATGTCTGCAATAACCATAGGTCCCATAGATAATTCTGGTTTTCATCATTTTCCGTTTGTTGGTATTTATTAATTCCTTGATGTCACGCTCCACTGCAAATAGCAGGTGACTGTGTGGAGGTGGGGCATGTGTTTTTCAGGATCCCCTGCATGAGAGTCTCAGGTCAGTACCAACCCAGACTCAAACTCGAGCTCTGTCTGCCACCTAGTGGATAAATCAGCGACCGGTCATGATAGGATTCCTAATAAACCTAGTTGTATGCAGTTGTCCCTCATATTGTCCGTGTATAGAGAGACATGGATCCTCATTAGACTCTGTGTGTCTCGTGCTGTGTGTGTAGAGAGACATGAACCTTCATCAGACTAGGTGTGTGCCCCATGCTGTGAGTGCAGGAGGAGCTCGGTCTCCCAGGAGACTCAGGATGACCCAGCCGCCCTCTCCACCGGCCTGAACCTCGCAAAAGTCATCCCAGTGGGAGACGTCCGAACGAATCTACTGGCTGCTCTATGTTAGTCTCTTTGTTTCACTCATAGCTGCAGCCCCATTCGCTACAAATACAAGATCAGCACCACGATGCGGGCCTGTGTCGTGTATTAAAGCCAGGCGAGAGTACACAGGCACTTTCCAACTTGGGAGGGTGAGAGTTGAGGCGAGAAACGCGGTCACCGAGGTGATAACAATGAGAGTGTCAGTGTATCAAGAGGTGCATCACGAAGCGGGAAGTGTTCCCTGAAAGTAGAATGGTGACCGTCTAAACCATGGGTCGGTAGCCAAAATCACAAGAGACATTTTTTAGTTTGAATCCGGTAAAAAAAAAGACAACTCTATGTTTAAAAAGTCGCCACAATGCTTGAGGTGAACATGAGACAGTGGTGACCTTGATGAATAACATCACTAAGCGGTCCTTAAGGGGAGCCACAGGTTGCCGATCCCTGGTCTAGGTAGATCAATCACTGTGAATGTCGACACCGGTGACCGTAGGGCACACTAGCCTGCGTACACAAATACTAACCAAAATTAGTATGTGGACACAAATACCAATGGATATTAGTATGTGTACACAAATAGTAATGAACACGAGTATGTGCACACAAATACTAACACATTATATTCACTGTCATGTATCAATGTATCATGAACTGCAGTATGACCACAACAACACAACTGACAACACAACACGCAGCGTGTGTGTGTGTATGTACACGCTATGGGAAATGCTCGTGCCACTACTGTGCACACGTCGTCGTGACCGTTGTGCTGGCGTCGTCATTGTCCTCACCAGATGGACGCTCACTGACTCTGGACACAAACTCAGTCCACAACCGCCTCCAGATTTCCTCGGATCTCAGGATGGTGACACTGAGCGGTGTCTCCAAGGATCGTCTCCATCACTCACACCGCTTTGATTACTGAAACCAAGCCCTGTGCTCTGTGAGCTTCTCGTCAGGGCAGCACTACTGGGAGGTGGACGTGGGGAGCGCGGGACAGTGGTGTCGGATTGGAATCGCGTATAGTACGATCCCACAGAGAGGGCGTGCTGATGAGTGACGCCTGGGAGGGAGTGACGTCTCCTGGTATCTACGGAAACGTGGCGACAGCTTCTCAGTGGTGCATGGCGGGGTAAAGACCTGTCAGGGGTTCATCTGGACTGGGACGCGGGGCTGCTGTCGTTTTACAGCACCGATTCCATGGTACTGTGGTACTCGTTTCACCAAACCTTCACTCAGCTCCTACATTCTGGGATGCTGGTGGGGTGATGATGGTGACTCAGTGAGGATTGTGGATCTGAGTGGTGCGTCAGGTGAACGTGAACAGCATAGAGAGCAGACACCACGACGCACGGCACTCGCCACCCTCGTCACCGTCACGCGCAGTGCCACGCCCGTGACTGGCCGTCGGTGGCGAGGGGCTGCGCGGCTCTCCATCAGAAAGGGGGGTTAAGCATAAACAATCCTCACACTCTTTCTAGCGGCTTATAAAATCAGTACCGCTCTGTGTGTGTGAAGCCAATGTGAATGTATTCACACTGCCAGAGGAGTGTGAGAATAGTGTAGGGGTGCAGTGATTAGCAATGGTGAACTGTGATGTGTGCATACACTGGTATCAGGGATTATGGGAGAGACACAACAACAATAATATGAATTTTAAAAGGTTTAAATCTACACGTACGACAATGGCATGGTTACCCTTGTATTGTTGATTCTACAAAAAAAATACAGAGCACAAATTACAATAATGTGGTTGTGTAAAGCGTCATTCGTGCTCACCGCATCCCGCAACGCTATTCATAACAAAACACGAGGACCAAATCCTCTACACAGCCACTGCCAAGCAAATAAATTTACAAATTAATAAACAAATTAAAGAGATGGCGCCAAACACAAAAGGCGCCAACAATGTCCGAGATGTTCAAGTTATCTGCTGCTGTGTCATGGACGTGGTGATGTCACCACGCACGCTCCCCTAACGCGATGACGTCACCACGTCACCCCTCCCCTTTCCCCCCCCCCCCCCACGCGCTCCCCCCACGCCCGCCCCTCACCACTGCACCATCTGTGAATATAACGAGCTTCAAAGCTAATCGGATTCCTCCTGCACTACAAACACAGATTCTGACATTCTGGATTCCCGTCACTGGGGGAGTCCCGCTGTGACGTTCCCACGTCACCGAGTTGGCGACAACAAAAACAAACAGGCACTGAGGGGCACCCTGCAGCCTCGCTGTGACGTCACCACGTCACCGAGTTGGCGACAACAAAAACAAACAGAGGCCCTGAGGGGCAACCTGCAGCCTCGCTGCTGTGACCCAGCACTGTGGGGGGCGGGGGGGGTTGGTGGATCACCACTGACGCTGCTGGGAACTCCACGTTGCCCTGGTGCTGGCCAGGAGAAGGCGGTAGAGCAGCAACAACAACAACAACCACAACAACCACCACCAAAACCACCACAACACGCATGAACTTCACCCAGTGACAGGGACTGGGAACTAACAATAAAAGTCGTCCCCACTCTGCCACACAAATTCCGGCTATGGGCAACAATTATTAATATATACACTAATACATATTTATATTTGTACATATTCAGTGTATTTATTTTACTTAGATGTATAAATATTGATTTAAATATAAATATATTTCTAAATATATATTTATAGTTTCATATAAATACGTAAATATTCAGATTGTTTTGTTATATATTTATATCATTATATTTTATATAGATGAGTATATTTAAGTATAAATATTAATTTAAAGGTAAATATATTTGTATATATATTTATATATTAATTAACATTTATATAAATAAATAACTATATGAATATATAACAAATATATGCATTTTTTATATATAAATACATGTGTATAGAAGTTTATTTATAAATATTTCTATAAATATATATTCATATATATTTTCCTACATTTATACATGAATTAGTATTTAAATTAATACGTAACAAAATACTCGAAAAAAATATGTTAAAATATGTGTAAATATTTTGAAATAAATGTGTCTTAGTGCTATGACAGCAGTGTGGTAGTAGTAGTAGCTAGACGGTGCCACGTGACACACCGTGGTGCTGGTGCGATGTTGCTGCGTGATCCTCCATTGGCAATGCTTGGGGATGGGTCCAGAAAAAACATAAATTGGGGGGAGCAGTGAGGAAGAATCTTTCGGTGATGCCGAATTTATGGATGGGGGCTTCGTGGCAACTGAGAGCGTTAATAAGTAATTGAGCGTGCACATTGGAGGTGAGCGGCAATCCAACTCGGTTGGCCCTGGTTCGTAGCGCAGCGCGCCACTAACCGCTGCGCCACTGCTCCCCACGCCGGGTGGCAGCGCAGCCCTGAGCGGCAGAGACGCGGACATCGTGGCACTCCCATCACGAAGAGACCCCACGTGAAGACGTCTCAACGTGAACTCGGGCGGCTGACGTCGCTCCTTCACACCGTTGCAGTATTCAAGGATGCATCTAACACGACGCGTTGCATTGAGTGAACGAGCGGCTTGGTTGAGCGGCAGCGATGGACCGCACGGAGGGATCCGCTGAACGAGCATCAGACTGTCACCTACCCAGTGATAAGCACAAGGCCTAGCCCAGCCGTCACCATTCAGAGACCAGCACATGAGGTGGGGTGCGAGGAGGGGGGGGGGGCGCCCTGGGGGCGGGGTAGGGGGAGCGGGGTGCGAGCGAAGGGGGTGTGAGGTGGGGGGTTGTCACGCGAGAGGAGGGACCCTTAGGGGGTGGGGAGATGGGTATGTTGGGGGTCCCGTTGGGTTCATTTGTTTCACTGCCGGCACTGGTCCAGAGTTGCAGACCGAGTCACGAATCGTGACCGATTCTCAGACGCCGTTTGGGTCCCGGCGCTGCCTGGAGCGGTGTTGGTGTGCGCCACGTGAGGGCGCTGCCACTCCACCGCAGGGATTCGCGGGGCGAGCTGAACAATGAAAGTGCATGGGAGATTTCAAAAGATGCCGTGACAAAATCCACCCGGAAAGTCGCTGTTTTTTTCCAGATCTCGGAAGCTACGCAAATTTGAGCCTGGACTGTAGCGCTTGGATTGGTGAGCGGCGTGCACGTCGGAGTGCAGTGTGCGGATTACGCGTTGTGCCTCTCTCCGATGCAATTTCAGGTAATGCCCCTTGTTGATCAGTGCGATGTCTGACGTTCCCTCCACGTGCTGGGAGCATCGTCAATATTTGAAGCTTCTTCAGTTGAAAGTGGAATTATGAGGAGCATTGACAGCTTTCATTCTTCGTTACAGTAGAGCTGATATTCCAATCATAATTGTTAAGTTAAATAATGAGCTTCAGAATACTCCTCTAGCCATGGGTAAGGTTAACCATATTTGTTCAAGTAACGAGACATTGACTGGACATGACGGGACTTGCATTTGTCCTCTTCAATCGATCTTTATTCTGCGTGCCAACATCGCCCTCACTAAATTTGGCATCAGTGCACATCACAGCAGCAAAGTCAATTTGCAATGAATAGCAGAAGAACATTAAGTAGAAATAAAGTGAATAATAGGTAAAGAAAAGAATTAAGAAAGTAAAGAAAATGAATAATAGGTAAAGAAAATGAGTTAAAAGTAAAGAAAATGAATAATACAATTTATAATAAGATGGATAATAAAATAATTTAGAAATTTAATTAATAA